GCGTGGCAAGATGTAACCGCCCGGCGATCGATATTGCTATGCGCACATCTCGCCACGCGCTCGAATTGGGCGGTAGGCCGGCCTAAGACAACGATTTTTAATAATTAATTATTCGTTAACTATTACGAAAATTGCAAAATGGTACAGGACTTTTCCGTTCATCTCGATCCGTTCTACCTTCTCAAAAATTTTGTCGGATATGGAAAGACTCACCCTGTATAATCGAGAATATAACGTAGACAAATTGGCAATTCAAGTGTTATATTTCTAAACTAATATGCTTTTGTTGGAAAGAAGAAATTTTTTACGAAACTATTGAAACTACTATACATATATGAAAGAACTGTTTCCTCTATTTAAAAAAAAATAAATATCTGTGAAGAGCACTTGCACTGATGCTTTCTTACTTTTTAATTTTTAATATTAACTATTTAATTGTGCCACTGAAAGTAATTGTAGGTATATAAAGATTAAGTTTGAAGATGATTGCGTTGTGCATGTATAAAATATCTGGAATAAGTTGCGGTGTTCGTATAGTATTCGAGAAAAATATTTTCAGAGCTTTGAAATTGTGGGAAAACGGGCTCATGTTTCGCGATGAGTATCGCTTGTACGTAAACAAGCCGACGTGCTCGAGTCAGACTGGCTTCATCACCATCGGCTTCACGGAGTGCTACTTTGCGATAGTCGCAATGGGCTACGGAACGCTACTTAGTGTAGTCGTGTTTATACTGGAGTTGCTGTGGCACAAAATGTAACGTAGAAGATAATTTTTCCTTTTATACACATCGCGTTAGTATTGTCTTACATTTCTTTTACAGACGAAGTAGGAGTATAAAAGAACAGACAGTTCTAGAAGAAACTGCGACGGAAGGAGCGAACCTTAGTACCCTCAAATACATTGATTAGATTATTGTGAAGCAGCACATCTTATAACAAGAAGCACAGTTATGTCACGTATTATGTAACATTATAAAAACTTCCCCCCCCCTCTCTCTCTCTCTCTCTCTCTCTCTCTCTCTCTCTCTCTCTCTCTCTCTCTCCCTCTTTCTCTCTCTCTCTCAAAAATGTTATTAATGTATGTAACATGTAAAGATCATAATACTAATTTAATAAATTTGGTCGTTAGAGTATTATTTATTATTTGATTGTATGCAAACGAGATACAAAACTCAACTAAACTGATATAATAAGATAAAATTCAAATAAAGGGAGAGTGCCGCACGTGTATTTCAATAAATTTATCTTGAGTCGCGAATTCAGTCGCCATTATATCAATGCTTAGAAACGCTTGTTCATTTTATCTTCAAAACGTGCGTACTGTTTAATCTTGCCAATTTGTAAGTTTATGAGGGTTTACATCAAAATATTTGCATATGATATCGTTTATGGAGCCTAGAATACTGTGACGTCATAGCACAGCAATTTATACATACAAATACGATCACGATATTGGAGTCTGATTGCGTTCTCGAACAGAATAGTGGCACTCAGGTTCTCTTTTGATAAGTACAAAGTTATAAGTGTACCAAAATATATAGGAAAATAATTCTATGTTTAGCCTTATGCACTTTAATGGAACTTGTACATCGCCATGTTAAAAACATTGTAACAAAGCATTTAGATTATATGTTTCTAATTTAATATGTTAAAAGAGCGTTTGTGTATTACCCATAGCATGACGCGTTTATTATTAATGCACATTAACGCTCTGAATAAATAAGCCTAATAAGCAAAGGAAATGTTTAGTTTTAAAATTATATTGCTAGTGTTGTCTCCAACATAGAGAAATAGTCAGTATATATATATTTGCACTAATACGATAATACTAGTACGCTCAATCTGATCCTAAATGAGCGTTTAAGCAGAAAAATAAAAATTTTGTAAAATTGAAATATGACCTTGCGAAAGAAATCAGTCGATATGTACTAATAGGAACAAAATTTACAATTAATAATGATCAAATGTTATTTAATTCCTCTCTAGAATAAAGACATTACCGAGGTGTTCTCCGTACGCTGTACAGAGAAAGTCTTTCGTGACCATACATCTTACAAAATATTTTAAGAATATTGAAATGAAGACTTTCGTGCTTGTTACGTGTCTGTTAGCTGTAAGTACAAAGCAAAGATTTAGATTAAAATTAACTAAGTGCATTTGTTAAACACATTTTAAATACAGTTTATTTCATATACAAATATCAAGTATGAAAATTAAATTTAACTTGTCTGAAAAAATGTATTATGTATGTTTTAATAGATATTAATAAATACGAGTATACATGTTATATTGTATACTCACATGTAAATGTTAGTTGTTAATCATTTATTATTACTAAAAGAAATTATACTATGAATCTTTAATAATCTTGACATCTACAATGTTTAAGTATGTATACGTGAAAATAATCAATTTTTCTTTTAAACTTTAGACGGTAATTTACGCACTTGACATCGATGAAGTAACACAAACGTTCAAGCAGTTAGGAGAATGTATAAAACAGGAAAATATTACGGGTGATTATTACACATTAAATATTTATTATTAAACCTTGGTTACCTTTGACAAAGAAATATTAAACTAAGACGTACTATATTAATCAATATAGTCAATAAATAAAATCCAAACACACTTGTTTAAACTAATATTTATTCCTAAATTGGTTTTATAAGTTTATTATAAGATCGCATAATTTAATTATGAAATCATATACTTTTTAAATTGTAACAACAAAGTACTTTATTTTGCAGTGAATGCGGAATTAGTGCCCGAAGTGTGGTTTTGTGTAATGTCGAAGCGCGGCATAGTACGTAAATATATAAAATAGAAATTATATAACAATAAACTCACACACATACGTGCAAATAGAGCGATTAAACGTAACTGGCTTAATTTTATTAACGTTTGCTATAAATTTTTATGTATCGTTGTTGACTCTACAATATATGTATAATATTATTTGACAAAATCTACCATCAAAGATAATTATCTCGTCGGTAGATTAACATTGTTTTTTATTATAAATCAATTGAAAGAAATCTTATCTCATAATTAAATAAGTAAAGTAATTTGTGGTATATATTAAATAACAAATAAAATAGTACGTAAAAGCGTGTGATTCAACTGATAGAAGTAACTAGAAAATAAATTCCACATGAAATTACATATTTAAATAATGTGTTAAGTTAAGTTGTGGCTTAAATTTCAGTTTTGAAGAACCATGATGGAATTACTCCAAATATTCGACCACAATTTGTTGTCCGCGAACTTGTAGGATCAGAGACATAGCAGTGAAGTGACTTATCTGGAAACGGCGAGGTTCGAATCGAGGTGTCATTATTTTAAGTACGAATAAACATTCAGAAATACAGGTCCATGTTCATTTGAGCTATAAAGATAAAAGAGAATTAAGTCTGAAGTCTCCATATCCCGATTTGAATCACGCAGTCTTTTGACAGGCCGTTTCACTGTAATATGCCTCTGATCCTGGAATTTTGCGGACATTTTCAGAGGTGAGATGCACCGAATTGTCCCTACGTTGGATATCATTGGGATCGGTGAGAAAAATCCAAAAATAATATCAAATCGCGGTTGAAGCAGTTTTATCATGGTTCTTTTATTGTTTAACTGTGAATGATGACATCATTGTTTGTACAGATTGATGAAAATGATGTTATAGTAAAAGAAAGATGTATGTCATATTGCGAGGAAACTACAATTTTGCCACTATACTGCAAGAAAATCGTTACTAAGTGCATACGTGAAGGTAATAACCTAAATACATTTTAAAATAAAACTAATTTTTAATAAAATATGTTAAAGTTATATTGTTGAATCGAGATCAGTATAATAATTATTCGTTTCTTTTACTATTAATTTCTTTTCAGGGAATCAAGTTCCAGGATCCAATAAAGAGAAAAGCCTAGCGACACTAGAATGTGATTTAAAAAGCGGTATATTAAACTTGGTTCCAAAAACAGAATAGAAAAAGTACAATAAAGAAAGGTTTGTTAAAAGCATCATTGTTATTGCAGCTGTATAATATCGATAATTTTTATTTTATGCTAATTCTATATACAGGGTGAGTCATAATATTTGTACCAGAGCTCGTGAGAAGGTAGAACGGATCGAGATGAACGGAAAAGTCCTGAACCATTTGCAATTTTCGCAATAGTTAACGAGTAATAAATTATCGAAAATCGTCGTCTTTGCCCTGCCCACTGTCCAATTCGAGCGCGTGGCGGGATGTGACCGCCCGGCGATCGATATTGGCCGGCTAGGGGGGGGGGGGACAGCGCGCCGTTGCCGGCGAGCTTACGTCGCCGCTCCCGCGTCTCGCGTCCCCACCCCTCGCCTGGCAATATCGAT